TGATTTTTATTGATTTTTACTTTTTCAGAATTATGTTGGGGGTGTTGTTGTTTTGTTGGGGGTGGGGGTTGTTTGTTTGTTTTCTCGTTTACTCAAGAGATTGGCAGATTGGAAATTAATCAGGAGGATGAAAAGACTGACAGACAGGTAGGCAGGCAGACAGACAGACAGATGGACTAGGCAGACAAATTCATAACCACTGCAATACCTAAGTTATCATATTTCTAATCAATCTCTGTGTTGAGTGGATTTGTCTGGCTTGGACCGAGTGTCATTCCTTTCCGTCACTTTCGTGTCGTTTCTTCGCAGAGTTGTTGTTTCATGCGGATTGCGGATGGAATCGATACTTGTTTGTAACAGATCTGAATGATCACGTGGGCATTAACTCTCTCTTGTGATATTGAACTGCATGGTGACAGTCGCGAGAGGATTCTTTTACAGTAATAGTATTACATTTGTCTGGCAACGCTGGGGAGTTAACACTCCCTTCCTGTAATCCGTGATCGGCGTTTATCTGAACCGAAGATTTTTTCTTTTCTTTTCTTGCTGGTAATGCAAGAAAAAAAACTGGTATGGATACGGACCTTGTAAATTGACGAAAATGATTATTATGTTCCTCAGTTCAGAATGCTACGAAAGGGTACTTGTTTATCGCCAGAGAGAGAGAGAGAGAGAGAGAGGGAGAGGGATAGAGAGAGAGAGAGACTAGAAAAAAAGGCTTCTCTCCAAGGCAGCTTAAAAGATGTCACGCTGCTTATTCACTGTTAACTGACAAAGTAAAATAAAGTAAAGAGGCCACTACAGAAATCATGCAAGAAAACTAGAAATGTTTTGGAAAGTACTTATTAAGTAGTGTTGTTGTTTCCTTCACTTTGTTTGCTGCTGGTCCCTGTTATTCTAGAATACAGCTACCATTATTATTGTTGTAGCTATTTCTGATCGTGGAGGAGGAAGATAAGTGTCCGTTTAAGTGTTTACCTCCTTCCCGCATGGTGGGATTTCAGAGCCTGGAAAAACGTCGCAGCGTACAGAGATCAATTCCTGGGATGAATATGTTGTCCCAGAAATTATAGCAAAGTCTTTTTAGCCTTCGATTGGAAAAACTACAACACTATACTTTAAGTATATTTTTATGTATTGCCGAAATAAACGGGCACGCCACTTGCTCCGTTGGACTTCATGGAATACAATAGGTACGGAGAAATGTGGTTCAAATCCCCGGTGGGGTACTTTTGAAAGCAGGTTGATCAGGGAAATTTTAGGCTTTCTGCCTACTTAGCTTTGCCTTTTCAGAGACTTACTTACTTTTAACTTTTTCACCCTTTGTTGCTGTTAAGCGTCGAGGGGAGATGCAGTTTTCTATAGCAGGCCAGCTCGGCAGCTCCTTCTGTTGTGATATTATGTTTTGTCAGGGTTTCTTTGACACCCTCGATCCACCTTTTGCGTTGCCTTCCTCTTCCTTTATAGCCGGAGTGTATGGTGTTGTAGGCTCTCGAGGCCGGCTGGAAAGGTGACATACGTAACAGGTGGCCAAACCATTTTATTCTCTGTCTTTCTATGTAATGCAGGCAGGATTCAATGCCGATAGGTGCTCTTACTTCTTCCTTTTTTCTGCCTCTCTCGTCTTGTGATGTTAAGGGTTTTGCGGAGACATTTCATTTCGCATACCGTGATTTTACTTTCGTGGGTTTTACTTAAAGTCCAGGTAGCATAATGTTGGTATGAATATTGAGGTGCATGCTATCGAATTTGGAGGCCCGATTCTTATCAACCTTGAGTTTTTCATCGTACAATGTCTTCAGATAAAAACTTAATACTCTATTTACATGCTGTAGTTTGAATAAAACATTTTAATTATAGTGAAAACCTCTGCCCCCTGTGGTCTTGCAATAGTTTTAGACCCCCAAGAAGAAAACAAAGTACCTTTCTCGTTTTCTTCCACAGGCGAGCGTGGTTTTTTTTTTGGTGGTTTTGTTGTTGTTGTTTTTTTGCTGAATTGTTGGCAATGTGTTGAGCGGCCAACCTATTGTCACAAAAAATGTGAACACAATTCCAAATCGCTTGCATAATGTATGGACTGCGTTAGGGCCTCCCTTAACAAAGGTTCTTTGTTGGGCTGTCCCCATTTTTCAACCAATGGAGCAGCATAGAATTGAAGCCAGTTATTTAACTTCGCTGTCCATTCTTAGCTCAAGAGATCAGCAGACACTTTTTGATATAAGGCAGTGCAATTTGAGGTGGGGGGGGGGGATAAATAGAAAAGAGAGAGAGAGTGAGAGAGGGTGAGAGAGAGTGAGAGAGAGAGTGAGTGAGAGAGAAAGAGTGAGTGAAAGAGAGAGAGAGAGGGGGGGATAATGAGAGAGGGATGAAAGAAAGAGAGAGACCAATAGACAGACAGACAGAACATTTACATAATGTACGTAGATTGTTTTCGAGAGATATATTGTTTTCAGTTTGACTCTAGGATCATGTTTTATTTCTAACAGAAGTAAAAGAAAGTAGATCGGGAAATTGAAACCAATCAAGAAGGAAAACCACCAAGGTTCAAAAACATTATCTATAACCCAGTTTTGTTCTCGCAACTCTCTCTCTCTCTCTCTCTCTCTCTCTCTCTCTCTCTCTCTCTCTCTCTCTCTCTCTTGGTCCTTCCAGAGAATTTGGAACCCATAACTTCCTCACAGCTGTCAAAAGTCTTAATCTATCCACTATCAAACATATATCGTCCTTATCTCCCCTTTTTCTTTTATATGACTGTTACTCTCTTTTTGTTGTTGTTGTTGTTGGTGGTGGTGGTGGTGGTGGTGGTCGTGGTTATTGTTGTTTCGCAAACGGTTTACGCCTCCGCCAATCCAGCTGGCAGACTTATGACCCTGCCTATCAAGCCAACCAGGGTTACTTGGGTACTTCTTCTCCTTCTTCTTCAGGTGTCAGGTCTGGAGCTGGCACACCATTCCTTCCTGTTGACTTTCTATAAGATCAGCTTGGTTTTTTCTTTTTGTGTGATTCGTTGCAGCAAAGTTGTTCACACCATCTGTGTATGTAGTTCTTTGTCTACGTCTGCTTTTCTTTCCCTCTATCTTTCCACACATTTATTTACGTGGCCAAAGAATCTCAATCGTCTATTTCTGATTGTTCTGATTATGGATCTTTCACACCTTGCCATTTGGAGAGCTTCTCTATTTGCTTTCTTTTAAGTACTTGGGATACATACCAGCTGAAAGACGGAAATGTTCAACAGAATAAGACACATGTGCCCGTATTGGGCTAACAATGCTTTTAGAGACTGAAAATAGACTCACAATGTTGTTGTTGTTGTAACAGCGTAGGTATAGCGAAAGGGTTAATTGGTAAACATCCTTTCAGTTGACGAGGGAAGCGCGCGCGCTGTCAGGATGAACGCATCGCCATCACTTCAATACCCGCGCCACACGCTCTCCTCACTTAGCGCTCACTTCACCTAGAGGACGCGATACCTGACTGCAGACTCCAATACCATTAGAGATACCCAACAAAAACAAGTAGAAAGTATAGTTGCACTATATCGATACAACTAAACGACTGTGTGATAGGACAGGGAATAATTTCCGAAATTACTTCGCAGTTTTCCAAATGGTTCGTGGTGCGGTAGTAGCAGCAAAGCGTGCGTGTGTCTGTTGAAGGATAATGTTACGATAAAACTGTTTCGTCATCATGAACGACTGGTGGTATACGCGCCTACTTCTTCTGTTGCAGAGATTTGATAGTGTTTACGTGCTAACCTGCACTCAGTCACACATCTAGACCTCTTTCGAATACAGCGACTTGGCTTGTGATACCACTTGTGTTTGCAGCAACCGCCTTTAGTGTGTGTATGTGCGCGCGCGCGTATGTGTCCGTGTCTGTGATTGTTTCTGTTCCAGGAGTCAAAGTGAATATTTCTAGAAAGGAATAAAAAGCCTGGGATGGTTGGAGCTGTTAAGGTACTTACACAGAATTATGTACAAGTTTCACGAGCTCAAAAGTTGGCTTTGTTTTAATATATTTTCGTCTCTGCGCTATCTTTTATTTTCATATGATAACAATGCCCCTGTTGTTATTTCAACTGAACGAGATAATTCAGAAATGTATGAAACAGTTCTCTGTTATGTTGCAATGCAGAAATAAAGAGATCTGATACTATAGCTTTATTTAGTGGCGAAAATGTTGCTTGGCTTTAGGAGATGGAATATATTGTTTGCGGAGAAGTTCGAAGAACGCCTTAGCTTCCGCAATTATGTTTGCTCTTTAATATTTACTACGATCGACTTGTTTGTCAGGGGCACTAGAATCTACATTATTTCAGAACTTGTAGAAAAGTGCTCACAAACGACTGTTGCAGTCACGTATTTAGAATTTTTAAAACCTTCTCTTGTTTTGTTTGTCTTTCGTTAGAAAACCTCTGGATCTACTTCTAGATCTGTAACAATTTTTGGGGGTGGTTTTGGGGGTAGGATGGCGTGTTATTCGTGTGTGTGTAAAAGGG